GTATCTGTCGTAAATATTTCGCAAAACGTTAACAACCCATTCAATATTTTATTTATCTTTACCATTCTCGTCAATTTATTCCATTTCGAAGCTTCTTACCGAAATTTTATTGGCTGGTTTGATTAGTCAAATCCATTTTGTAGAAGTGTCATTTCGTTTTCGTTTGTATTTTACAGCAAATACATATAGATATTCAGTAATGAGTGTAAAAATGAAATTGTATAACAAGTTATAGTAATACATAAAATACATGTAAGATATCAGCGAATGTCACGATTAAAATTGACGAAGTGTTAATATGTAAATGGTTTATTGACTCCACATTCTTCGATTAAAACCTTCGTGTCTTCAGATCAGATTGAATACCGTTATTCAAACATTTGTGGGTTCTAGTAAGCATATTGGGTGGAAATGATCATAATAGAGTTGGTTTCTGCACAGGTTTATATAACATTGATAAAAAATATAATTCAACGAGTTACTGAACTATTAATAAAATAATTAAAGAATAAATATTTATTTCATTTTAGTAATTGGAACCATACAGGTATTAATCACCTAAACTTGTTAGTCATTCAAATTTTCTAAGAACATTTTCGATAAACGAATCAAAATTAAATGCAAAATTATATGCAATAGTAAACAAGTATGTGTTATTACAACAGAAAACAAAATGAGGTACAACGTAAAAGAGAACTTCTCCGACCATAAAAAAATACGTTTATTGCTCTAAATTCTCAAGGAAACAAAACTACGTACAAGTATAATAATAACTGAACACTGTCGTCGTCAGTAACTCTTCGTATTTGATGCGATCTGAATGTCTTAGAGAAAAATATTATTTTTAAATTTTTTGAAAAAGGTCATAGTTGTTGAGAAAAAAATTCCCAAAGAACACTCTTTTTTCGGTCTCCTGACTGAGCATGACCCCTTAAATGAAATTACGCCACAATCTTAAAGTGGCAGTAATGGGGACATTTGACCAATTTTGTGTGCCTGTTTTGATTGAACCTTGCAATGTTACAAACGGAATTTGTCACTTCGATATCCATTAAATTCTTTCTGACACTGTATCGAAGTTTCGATCGGTGACGATACAAACATCCCATCGGGTGAATGACTATTAATAGCATAATGGTATTAGAATTGAGTAACGGTTTTCGGAACGAGGCATTTCGTCGAAGAAATCGGGTGAATCATTTTTGAGAGTCATCGATGTCAGGTCGCTTCCATTCAAGGGTGAAAACACGCCCGTTGCGAGGCAACTCACGTTCTGGGATATATCCCGGATATTTACGCAATGTCTCGATGAATCAATGGTAAATACCGTGCGACCAAGTGTGGTCGGAAACGCGCATGGTATCTGGGTGCAACGATTGCATCCTCGTGAACGTTCTTGGCAAAATGTTTTTAGAAAGTTGAACTGTTGTTCGTCTTCGACGTGCGTTGATAGAGTTATATTGTTTTACTTTTTATTTATTTATTCGCGCGGAAGTTCCAATCGCCCTCGATTCATTCTAAAAGACAAATACATACAGATATTACATATGTATATGTATAGGTCGTTGCGCATGAAACGAGCGATTTTTATGAATGACAATTTGTACTATAACTTGTTTTTTTTTATTAGAAAATTACACTAAAATCGGCTGAACTTTACTTTACCGGACCAAAAAGTATTGACTTTTTTTTATGTCATCTGGTAGTATTCAACAAGTGAAATCTAAAAATGCAAGTTTTAAGTTTAGAAATCCACCGGTTCAAAAGTTTTGCGTATGTAAAACCAAGCCTGTTTAGCATACTTTATAGGTTAGTCAACCGCCTTACTGACTTCTATTCAAAATTCGTTCAATCAGTAGTGAAATTGACATTTTCATACAAAATTAAGGGGTTATAGACATTTCCCGAAGATTATGATGGCATGGAAAAATATACGTTAACGATTAATAAATAAATCTAGAAATCAAGATCAAAGTATGTAAATTTAGGTTTCGATGCGTTTGGTAGTATCTTCTACGCATTTTTGCTATAAGCGTCAACCTCTCCTTTTGTTTGTTCGACGAACATTCCAATTTTTTCTTAAAAATTCCAAAAAAAAATAAATTTACGATAAGGACAAAAATTTTGGTTTTTTCCACTTATTTGTAAATTCTTTCTCCATTTCAATATTTTGAAATAGTTTAAAATATTAATCATTCAAATTAAATTGGTAAGATTGATAAAAAGCGCCATATAGAGCCCCAGCTAGATACGACACCAAACGCGTGATATCGTTAACCCATGTACATATTATAATATTTCTCTGATAGAATTGTTCTGTGTTTCTGAAGCAGCTTCTAAAGATTTGGTTGAAACGTGTTAAATAAATTGTGTTAATGTTATAAATGGACTGATACCACTTAAAAAGGCGGCTCATATAATAATCACGTTTGTGAATATATTAGTTTGTACAGATCTATGGAATCGCGATTTCTATAAGCCGAGACAAAAACTTTTGAATCAAATTATTTTTCAACAAAAATAATTTTTATTCGGTGAAAATATACACCATCAGTGTTACAAGCTTGCTGCCAGTGAGATATTAATTGTTATGATTCCTGCGCATACATACTGGTGTCATTAAATTGTATGAGTCCTCCAAAGTCTACAAATAGCGTTTGTTAATTAACAGCGCCTGATACCGGAAAAGGTATACAGCGTGAGTCCAGTAACTAGTTGAACGGCTAATGGAAATAAATATTATTTTGAATAGAACAATATGATTTTCTGATGCGTATAGTTTCTGTATTGTTATTTTGTTCATAAATGATCTGAAGTAAGATCCTCGAAAACTCAGTATAATACTGAAAGAAATATTCTTCTTGCTTTCTTAGAATTACGAGTACACAAAGAGACTATGAATACATCGAGTGTCTGGACACTTATGAACAGTCATTTACATTACATCAAGTTTAACCATGCTAGATCGCCACTAACAATCACTGATCACTATAAACTATCTATTTGCAAATCGGCAATTTCGTGCGGTGTAATTTATGTAGTGAATGAAAATCTTTCTGAGCACTCTTGCAAGCTTGTATTAATGTTGATTGTAAGTATGAATGAAAATTATTAACAGCCCTTTTCGTTAGTACAAAATTATACAGTGTAGGTGCTGTACCCGTTTCAAGATATTATCTAAGATAACAGTAAAATTAATTGTGTTAAACAGTAAAGTTAATTAAGGTAGAGAATCAATCTCAGTTAAATTCGACCAATTACTCGGCATGTATTATAAGACTGGTGAAAATATTCTATTTTCTGGTGACAACAAAGATGGCAGGCAAAAGTGTCTGAGTAAACACGTTAAAATTGAGTATAATAAATATGTAATGAATGTAACATTTGTATTTCAATGAAGAACGTGTATAAAGCCTATTTAATCTTACTTTGTCTAATAAGATTTGTATAATATTCAATATAATATCAAATGCCGGTAATAAAACGATCTTTTCATGTATGAGTCACTGAGTGTACGTTGAACAAAAAAAAAGAAATAGCAATAGGAGTGAAAAAATTTCTTGGAGTCTACAAACGGATATCGGCATTACTTCCTCCTTTCAGTCCGATCATTAGTGCGTAAGACTTCGAAGAAGCTGTCGTGAGAAATAACTACAATTCATTTACACTTAAATGAACTTGCTGTATCCGCGTTATGAATGAAAGTTGTCCATAAATCATCGATGTATTGTACAAGGTACTGCAACAATTTCAATGCTTGTTTTTTTTTCTATTTTGAGAATTATTCCTAATGAGAAGGATTCAATTATCACAACTGAATTGTTAATGATTGTTTATTAAATTAGTTTCAAAAGACTAAACTGTGGTGATTTCGAGCTCAATTACAAACTGTGGTACGCCTCGACTTTGGAAATGGAAAAACATTACTTACGAACTACTGAACAAAAACTCGACACGATCGTCTGTTAATACAAATATGTTAAGAACTTTTTCCATCAATTTATTATACCTTCCATTGTAATTATCATAAAGGAAGCTTCAAATTGAATTTTCCCGTCATCAAATTTTCTATCGATATACAAATATCTACTATAAACAACTGCGCAGATACGCAGCAGCATGGGCAGCAAGTTTTGCAATATAATCTGTTGTCCCATTAGGGAAAAAAATGGAAGAGAGTTTGTGCAGCTTCAACCATTTAAATTTTATATAGACGCGCATTTATAGACATTTAAATGATTTCTTTAGAAATTCTTTTTATTATTGATTTTAGGGAAATGAATAATTTTCACAATAATTTTATTTTATTATTAATAATTCATTTACCATTTTACAATATTTACAATTTTATATACCTATAACTAGCATTTAAAATCTGTTAACATTTTCCAAAGTACAAGTACGATCGTTTAGGAGTATATAATAAGATCCAATACCATATGAATTCAGTTATATGCAGAATATATTTTTTTTTTAGTAAAATGAATTCTATTCTTATCAATGAAATGGAAAAAGAATTAAATATCACAATAGAAGTAATATTTAGTACATGTTCTTTAGATTACATTTACTTATATTTTCCAAAATATAAAACGAAATTGATGGTTAATTACAAATATTTATTACAATAATATTACAATCGGACAACAGGTTATGTTGCAAGACTTGCTGCCAATCTGCTTTACGATTCTGTCAGCAAGCAATGCCTGCAAAACCCAAGCCAGATGCAGAAACATATGGCTATGGTTTTTTAGAGAAATTTCGTTACTACCTATTTGCTGGCAATCTACTGGCAACCTATAACTCTGGTTATCAGGGAAATGTATACATTTACCGAATCAACACTTTTACTGTAACTGTAACATATACAAAAATATGAATTTTGAACTATCCTCCGATCGGTAGATATTGTAATACTACTGGTCCGCACAATAAATAAATTCTTTCAACGATTAATCTAATAATTGAATTACATTAAAGTATCCGCATCATCTATCAAAATGTCATCGGAAGAACCGCTGGTCGTCGAAGCAGTGTACCTCTACGAGAAAGAGAACGCGAAAGCCCATCGCACGTTCAATTACGAGCTGGTGCATCTGGACCCACCGACACCAGTCCTCAGGAGGGGTCAGGCTTTCAATGTAGCTGTCAGATTCAACCGGGAGTACGTGGACGAGACGGACATCGTCAGGTTGCTGTTCAGTTTCGGACCGAACCCGAATATCCTCCGTGGCACTAGAGGTGTCAACACTGTTACGAACAGGGACAGCTATTTGACGGATCTGGAGGCATGGGGTGTACGTATGATCGGCGTCAGCGGCGAGGACTTGTCCGTGGAAGTGAGGAGCCCAATCGACAGCCCCGTTGGCGTCTGGCAATTGAACGTGGAGACCACCACTCTGGGCAGAAAGAAACCGCCGAATACTTACAATTACGAGAACGATATCTACCTGTTGTTTAATCCGTGGTTGAAAGGTGAGATCAGCGTACAACTTGTAAACGTAATATACAGGGTGAGCCAATAAGAACTATTATCCCAAATACAATAAAACATTTAATAGTACCACCACTAGGAGGATCCATCTTGGAACCAGCCAAGCATACAATGTAAAGGTGCGTACTCACCAGCGAATAGTTCACAAACACTGTTCGCAAACAATGTTCGTGAACACTGCTGGTAACATGTTCGTGCACAGTTCGCAAACGGTTCCCGAACACTTGTAAATATTCTGTTGCACCATTCTGTCAGATTCTTGGCATTGGCGTAATTAGATAGGGGCCAGGGTGGGCCTGCCCCCCCCCCAGAATATGGACGGCCCCCCCGTCCAGAAATGATTGAAATATGTAAGAAAAACATTTGTTGGTTGATAAAATTTATGTTAAAAAAAATGAATACTTGAGTCGACATGCAATACGCAACGCAACTAAGTACAAAAAATACAATACTATCCTCATTACGTTAAAGTATTAAGTAAAATTATATTGGAATTAAGCTGTTTAATTTTTACATTCTACTTAACTAATAATCCTGCAACACCAATTGAGGGATCGGATACAATTAAGGGAACTAGCGCTCGAGAATGTGAAAAATATTTTTGCAGAAAGAAAGTAGCAAATTGCAGCTTATATAAGATACATTTTAATTATAGGTATCTGCATATAATATACTCTTGATTTTAATCAATCTTAAATTTCTTTTATTTGAAAGAATTATGTTTATATTCTTCTAATCTTAGTTTTACTGTTAAATAAACATGTCAATAATTATTGCAAAATGTCTAACTTTATTTTGTGCAACCCACGTACGTGGTATAAAATACGTACAGGTGCCTGATGGGGAGTGTTATGGGTGAAAGTGAGGGGACCCCCCAGAAAAAAATTCTAGTTACGTCAATGTTTCTTGGGAATAATCACTTCGTTGTGTGTATTCATTGTGCACTTGCTATTTATTAAACTCAAAAATTTGTCAAAAGTGTCGATAAGATTAATTTAAATTTGTAACAAATTATGAGTACGCAAATCAGGTGTTAGCTTGTGCTGGTTTTATGGTTATCCATCTGCTAATTTAAAAGTATTTTTCAAGTATTTCTCAATACTTGTCTAAAATTAATTGATACCAATATTCATTCCTCGTGTGTTACCTGTTTCTCTTGTTTGTCTTGGTTCTTTGTTAGTGGTCCTCGTTGTCGAAGTTTGTTACATTAATCATTAAGATGTTATCAATTCATGGAACAGTACGATTCGAACATTCTGAAAGATCACACTTTCTTATAGCCAAGAAGAAAAAATAAATATGGTATTTATTTATTTATGGTGAAGCTAAACGGAATGAATTATATGCAGAAACGTATCGAACGAGAAAACATCCTTCGTCTGATAACATTGCCATGACATTTAAGATGACCGTGGGTTTTTTTATCATCGACAAATGCACGTCCTCAACCCAGATAAACTCCTGTTAGTAATTTTTTCGAACTTTCACTGGAATGTAATTTAGATCTGCATTGCAAGTAGGACACCCTGTATGAAGGTTACGAGCAGGCCTGGGTACTTCTCGGATGATATTTGAAGTATTATTTTAAATAACATGTTGTTTTCTTTCATAATTATTTCCATACCTGTGATCACGTCTGAAACAACAATATTTTAATCATTTGAAATAATTCTTAGAAATAATTGTGAAATTGTTCCTCGAAATTGTATCAGGTCTGATTGTGAGTTTGATTTCTTCACATTTTTCTGAAGAGTAACACCCCGCTTCTATCTTTTACTTGAATGGAACGATTATTTTCTTTCGCGACAATATTAGATGGATCCAAGCAAAAATCTCTTTTCGAAAGGCGGATTCTGCTTAAAGCAAATTGCTGTAAAGATTTCTTAACATAAAATCCTTTTGTTGCATATTATTTAGAATATTATTTCTTGTCAAATTTGGAATACAAAAATAACAAAATAATTAATTATTTGAAATTGCTATCATTTCAAAAGAATCGATAATATTTTTATTTTCAAATAACAGTATTGAAAATAATATTCCGCAATAAATTATTTCAAATAATTATTATCCTATTTTCATTTCAAATCAAATTTGTCCAGGTCTGGTTACGATACATTAACGTTAGATTGAAAAATATTATAGTATATTTATCAAAACAGATTGACTTAACGTTGATACTATCAACAGAGGACCTCGTGTTTATGGAGGATGAGCAGTTGCTGGATGAATACGTGCTGACCGACGTGGGGAAAATTTGGGTTGGTCCATGGGGAAGTTCCCGTGGCAGAGAATGGGTTTTCGGTCAATTCGATGCTTCCGTACTTCCCGCCTGTCAGTTGTTGTTGGAGAGGTCTGGTATTAAGGCTGTTTCTAGAGGTGATCCTGTCAAGATGTGTCGAGCTATATCAAGAATCGTAAGTTCAGTACAAATATGTTAATCGCGTGAACAGTCAAAATCCTCGTAAGGGTTTACGTCCTAACTAATGTCTCCAGTTATCTACATTTTATGCATTATAAACAATTACTTTCTTGCAAACTTGTTTTAAACGAATCCGCTACAACCATAGATCAGAACTATGTATACATATATACAATGCACCAATATATTAAATTAGATTAAAAATTAATTGTTTATGCCCTGGTTCAAATAATATTCCGAATTAAAACATTTTGTATACATAAATCATTGATTTTCCCTTTTATACCACTTTAAAAATATCCGATTATAGAGTACCATAGAAAAATATTTATTTATATTTTATTTAACTGTAACTATTTTTTTTTTACTATGGTATATCATTTTAACTGTCAAATCCAGCACGACTTGTTTCATTTCATTGTATTGCAAAAAAATTGGTATAAAATATAAGGAAAGTTCAATTTTTCCAATTCTTATTTTGTTTAATTAACCATTATGAAAAACATAGAACTTTCCATGAAAGTATACGTATCACCAATCAATTCCTGAGGAAATGCTTTATGAGAAACATACGTTTTAAACATTACTATTTCTTTCTAAAAGTAATAAGTAGACTGCGGAGTTTTATGCAAAATAACATTTTATACAGTAATTTACAGAGGCAGAATTAAAAACAAAATAATTTTTTTCCTTCATAGGAGTTTATTGCGTTAAGAATAAAATGAGAAAAATATTAAACTTGATGGAAGGTTTGTCTTCTATTGCATTTCACATACACCCGTTTCTACTATAAATGCATGAAATCCACAGCCTAGTTTTAAGACAGAGCTGCATAACTTCTGCTCCCGGAGTTGGTGCCCCACTCCGGGGGTACCCCCACTACGCGGCCCAAGCTGTCTCGTCCGCTAGGTAGACCCGTGAGCAAACTCGGCTTCCGCTCGGGGAAAAAGCGACGTAACTGAAGGGCCTCCTACTATGCTCCTTCCCTTGGTATTTGGAATTACTGAAATTTATGGCAAATTAACATTTGATTTAACATTAATTTCAGTATCTGGAATAAATTTACCAAGTGGTAGGAAACTTTTATTCTACGCCGCTTTTTTCCCTAGTGGAAGCCGAGTTTGCTCATGGGTGTATACTCGCGAGCAAACTCGGCTTCCACTAGGGGAAAAAGTAGTGTTGGGAAATGGCCTCCTACCATGCTTGTACCACTTGGTATTTGGAATTACTGAAATTTATGCCAAATTAACATTCGATTTAACATTTATTTTAGTACCTGGAATAAATTTACTAAGTGGTAGAAGACCCTTCTCTTACGTCACTTTTTCCCCTAGCGGAAGCCGAATTTGCTCGTGGGTGTACAGAGCGTCGCATTCTACGACCTACGGCGCTGCGGCTAGTGATGGGTAGTCGAGCCGAGCAGCTCGAGCCGTATCGGAAGCTTTCGATTCACCGGCTCGGCTCGACTGGTCAAGCGGGCCGAAATGACAGTCTTATGAGGTGACAGCGTAGAGATGTTATCTGGCCGCCGGCAACCGACCCTCGGGACCTCGGGTTACAGTGTAACACACGGAATGAATCACCCATGAATAAAAATTTAAACTTTTACTCCTTTCAGTGTATTTCCTTAAAAATGTTATGAATAAATGTAGGAGATTCTCCTGATGAAAATAAGTCCAAACCCGACATAAATCGGACTATTTTTTTTATTGTCAGGGGACCTGGCCTCCCTCAGACAAAAATCCTAGTTACGCCACTGGTCTTCCGTCGACAATGTGTTAAGTGTAACCCGCTCACCATAGGTTAACGCTCCGGAATTCATCGTATTTTTTCAGACAAATTCGAACGACGACAAGGGTGTGATCACGGGACGCTGGGACGGCCAATACGAGGATGGCACAGCGCCCGCTTCGTGGACCGGAAGTGTGCCGATTCTCGAGCAATTCTTAGAGACCGGGGAATCGGTGAACTACGGACAATGCTGGGTATTCGCCGGAACGGTAACCACCATCTGCCGTGCCCTCGGTATACCGTCCAGGGTGGTGTCGAACCTGGTCTCGGCCCACGACGCGAACGCCTCGCTCTCGGTGGACCGTTACTACGACAAGGACAACGAGGAGCTCGAGTACGATCCGAATAATATCGAGGGCGAGGATTCGATCTGGAACTATCACGTCTGGAACGATGTCTGGATGGCTAGGCCGGATTTGCCCAAGGGATACGGGGGTTGGCAGGCGATCGATTCGACCCCGCAGGAACCGTCCGAGGGTGTCTACCAGTGTGGACCAGCCTCCGTTGAGGCTATTCGGCAAGGAGGCGTTGGATATAATTACGATGTAACCTTCATGGTGGCTTCGGTGAACGCCGACCTTATGAGATGGAAAGAGGATCCTGAGAGCGAGCTAGGTTACTCGAAAATCGACTGTAATAAATACCAGTAAGTATTCTACAGGATGGATGGAAAGTTACGACATATACAGAGTGGTCCACCTAAAAGTAGCCACTTAATATCTCCTTCGGTTGTGATTATACAGGGTGTCCCGAAATAGGTGTAAGTCCTTGAAAGGGGTGACTTTTGGGCTGATTTGAAACAACTGTCTCCTTAGCGATAAAGTTCACCGAGGCTTTGTTAACGAGATATTAACAGAGAACCCCGACCAATCAGAGCGTGGGTCTGTCGACTGAGCTCCTGCGATAGCGTGAGTCACAGCCGACTCTAGTACTAGCCGTGCTGAACAACGTGGCAACACCGCTCATAGCGGATTCGGGATTTCTATTTTCAAGAATATAGTTTTGTGCTCAGTGTTATAATTAACGTTATTTCTTACATAAAACCATACTAATACACAGTATTTTTAACTAATTATGCATAAGGAATACATAAATATCATAACTATAGTAAGTAGAAGTAATATAGATGTATATTAATATTTATAAATGTATATATTTTGTGAACACTCTGAATACTTTGGTGTTAACTCTGATTGGCCGGGATTTTTCGTTAAAATCTCGGTAACAAAGCCTTGAAGAACTTTTTTGCTAAGGAAAAAGTTGTTTCAAATCACCCCAGGAATCACCCCGTTCAAGAACTTATAACAATTTTGGGACACCCTATGTAAAAAAGATATGTTGTATGCAATTTGCATGGTGTCGTATGACGAACACGCCGCAACGAATGTTTTCGTGCCAAGGTCATTCTTTTCGGAGTTTTCAAGGTCACTTGACTCACACAGCTGACATTAAAACGTATTCGGAGATGTTAATGACATGACCTTGAAGTGACCTTTCACTTCGAGTTTATGTGTTATTCTTTTAGAGTTTTAGACAATACATATCCATGGAGAGACATCATTTTAAACACTTAACATGACATGATAATTTAAAAAGTAAGTGATAGATACCTTATAAATTTAACAGCGATCAGGTATTCTAGAAAATGTTTCGTTACATTTCCGCAGATTTTAATTATTATAAAATGCATTAACGACGTTACTGCGCGAAGTCATTGCAATCCGCGTAAAAAATGTCAATTGTAAAATAAACACCGCATTCACAGACGTTTTTTATTTTCTTTCTGAGTCATAGATTCATTCTGAATTCATTGTCGCATAGGTAATCGTCACCTTGACGGTATCGTGAGCCACGGCATCACTTAATTTACATAATCTTCACGCGTGTAATAACAAAATATTTATGCAAAAACACCTGGGACATACGCCATTTTGGATTGCATAATTGTAAACTGATCTTGTAAACTGATAACGTCTTGTATTTATCGTTCAAATCAAAATCTTACCAAGCAAAATTCAAAAAGTCTGTTTTTCCTCTCAAATAGCATTGGTCGCATGATTCTAACGAAAGCACCTTGGATCTTCGATCCCAATGGCGACAGAGACAGAGAAGATATAACGTCGCTGTACAAGGCGAAGGAAGGTAAATATTTTCGTTGACCAACTTTATTTAAGCCTACGACTCGAGTCCGATGTTTTAAGAATTGTTAGACAATGGACAAACGTTTCGTGTAGGTCCGCAACACAGAAATCTAAGGTCGACTATATACATATGTATTATTATACTGGGTGGGTCGGAACGGGTACTATAACCGGATAGGAGGTTATTCTACAGGGTGTTTCATTTAACTGGAAACGGTAGAATATCTCACGAAGAATTAAAGTTATCAAAAAAATGTTCGTACAAAAGTTGTTTGGTATAAAGGGGGACATTACGCGGTATAAATAATTTTTCTGTAAGTGTAGTAGTGGAGGAGATATCAAAGTCAAGTTAATTTTGTTAAATGGAACCCTGTATTTTTTTATTTATATTATGATAGTGTTTGTTGAGACGAATACAATGAACTGCCACATGATATCATTCCCTGTAGTAGGAAGTGAAAAATTAGTAAGATTTTAAGATGATTTACGAAACAGGATTATAGTCGCATGCGAAAGAATAACGGACAAGATGTTGAAAAGTGTCGAAAGAGAATTTTCAAACAGAATAGAAACGTGTATTTGTAACGATGGTGGGCATGTTGAAGGATAAATGACGTAAAAAATTATTAATTAATTCTTGATACTACAAGTTAGATAGTGGTAAATGAAATTTAAAATCCATTATTTACGCTTAACTCCTCATATTTGCTACGATATTGGTGTTGTTTCCATACCAGGAATATTTTATTAAAAACGGAACAATCGGTCGGGTACGAGTAGATGGCACAGTCACGTAGAGTTCAGCTGACCGACGACACACGATCCGTGTTGATCTGACTACTTTGTATTTAATTTATGATATTTTACAACTCGGAATGATATCATGTGGCAGTTCGGTATATATATAACAGTAAATATTTATAGTAAATATTTACATTTACCAAATCAACGCCGCAGGCTAATACATATACCGTCTAACACGTTGTTCTGTTCATATCTAGGAACGGAAGCAGAACGTTTGACACTGTACAGAGCGGTACGCAGCACCGAAATGGCGAAAAGGTTTTACTCTTTACCCTCTCCGGGCAAAGAGGACGTCGAATTCGATCTCGAAGATCTTGAGCGCGTGAACATCGGCCAGCCGTTCGCTGTGACGGTACACATGAAGAATAAATCGGACCAGCCACGTACCATTCAGGCAATATTGTCCGCTGGAAGTGTCTACTATACTGGAGTCAAGGCGAACTTGGTGAAGAGAGCTTCTGGCGATTTTGTCCTTCAACCGCACGCCAGTAAGTTTACGAATTTACTTTCGGAGCAAAGTGTGTGTAAACATGCTCTGTCCCAAAAAATAACCGAACGTTTATTAAAAATAACAAAACACACGCAACTTTTGAGAAACATGTTTTATTTCATTGAGAATACAATCCTTCTGCAGCGATACAACAATTTGCACGGTCAAGCAATATATCGTGTAAATCGCATAATGACCGATGTTTGTTTACATGCGAATGACTGGGTTAAGACGCCGCACAAGTATTGACTAATAAATATAATTTGTTTTATAATTCACGAGATTTTTATTATAATTAGTGTAATAAGAACCACGAAAATCCAAATGTAATGCGGAACCAGCCAATCATTACATTGCATACATGGTGACGGTGGCTCGAGTTCGAGCCATACTGGTACTGTGTTAGTATAGTGTCGCTGAGGGCCTCGAGTTTGAGCCTTGCCGTCGCTGTGTACTACTGTGTAGTAGCAGAATATCAGTGTGGGGTCAGAAATGACATAGGGACCGGTGACCATGTTTCCGTGCTCGGAGGGTTAAATAGAAGCACCACCAAGGATTTTTCGTCATTAGAAAGTCATAATGTGCGGACAATATCGAAGAGTCGGATAAGACTGACTTATAGTAATCGGAAACTGAGCATAAATCGTCCACGGCAGAATGTTGATAAAAGTAACTAGGAAAATATCGTTAGAAACCGTGTCTGCCATGATAGGTGCTCAGCGTCGTTTACAAGCTTGTATCGAAGCGAAGGGTGGTGATTTCGAATAAGACCCTTAAGTGTTTTTCGTTATTGCAACATATCAATAAATCCTGATTAGTTAAGGACAGATGACAATATTTTCTACTTTTTCTATACAGTCACCCAATATATTTGTAACGAAATTTATGGCAGGACTAGATATTTCTTCCTTCTTACGTGGTATAGTTTGTAATACGTCTGCGAACAGCGATATTTTAATCACATTTATTTCGTTTGTTTAGCCGAACAGTTAAGACTCGTAGTCACAGTGGACGATTATTTGGATAAGCTCGTAGAGTATTGTATTATGAAGCTGTACTGCATTGCCACCGTCAAGGAAACCAGGCAGACATGGGCCGATGAAGACGACTTCCAGGTCTTGAAGCCTACTATCCTGATCAAGGCAAGCAATCAATTAAAATAAATAGAAATTTAGGAATCTTATTTCGTAATTACAATTTTACAATTGTTTTACAATTACGAATTTACAGTTTCCAATCATTTTCTTCTCGAATTACTAGACTGAAGTTTTTATGCGTTTAAATAATTCGATTTATTTATTATCTAATTATTCCTACACGTGGTAAACGAAATAACTTTCTCTTTCAATTCTATTCTTGTATTTATAATTACAGAGGCATCCCTCCCCCACTTACAACTTTATAAAGACACTTAAATATTAGGTGGTGTAAATAGTTTTTCGTGTTTATAAAATACACTTAAAGTCATATAATTTCAGAGGAACATTTGTTAATCAAATTAGTTTGGAAGTTGTTTAAGAAATAAAAGATTAACTTTCCTGCGATTTCCGCACTTAGTAGAAATTAAATGTAGTTAATTCCTGTTAATAAATAGAAGGTTAAATTTCTATTCTTATAAGAATAGGTCTGAGGATTATGATCTCCAAAAACATTGTGTTTATTTCTATTTTCACAGCAAAACTCTAATTCGGTGTTGGTTAGAGACAGTTTAAGAAAAAACTTGTTTTTTCAACTTTCTTAAGGTTTTCGCACAAAAGCACTAGTGTCGTTACACTTCTCTATTGATTCTTTAAAGACTGACACCTTGTTCATGGGGTTCCATCACCTTGCACGGAATGACATTGGCAAAAATACTAAACGAAACAATCTAAAATTTAAGTCTTGAGAACATCCGTAGGACTTTTGGGACTTTTGTAAATTTAAGTCTTACGAACGTCCTAGGGATGTCCAAAATGGACGTAGGACATTCGGATATAAACTGGACATGAAACGAACGTCATTAGGATATACGGTGCTATCTGGGATATGTCTGATGCGACGGGTTATTCTACTTGTAAGGCGTGCTGTTTAACTGTTTCACGTTTTGGTTTAATTTATTTCATTTGATTTCATTCATTAATTTCACTGGATCACCGATCGAGCCTGTGTGATCAACTGGAAATCGTTTGTGTCGCGTTTAACCCATTACACCAGACATATTTCACGCGTATTTTTCCCATATTTTCAGCAAGTAATGCCTTGAAAACCAAGCCACAAAAGCAATTGCTTCATTCTTGATTTTTGTCTTACAAGGAGAGGTCACAGCTAGGGATAAACCGATACCATCAAGGTATCGATACTTTTACTCATAACTTGTATCGAAAAAAAGTATCGCTGTCTACTTAATATTGCATCAAAAGGATTGATACCTACTTGTATTGAAGGAAAATTAATAGAGAGTTCTTTGTTTATTAATATAATATATTTTAATCAGAATTGAGCAGAATTTTATTCGAATAATACGTAGTGATAAGCTGCAATATCTAAGGGCGTCATCCTAAGCTTTAAACAGTTAAATGTTATTAAACAATTTTTTGCCAAATGTCGACTCATTCAGGAAGACGTATTATTTGTTATAAAAATTAGAATTTCCATGTTTAAACGATTAAAAATGACGAGTCACTTTTTTTATCTTTTATTCGTTCTTCGAAACTCTTTATCTATATGTATAATGAATTTGCCCTTCTCTGATTTTAACGAAGATATATTTAATTTATAAATATTTATTAACGAAGTCATATTTTGTTAATGAACATTTGTTAACAAAGTAATATAACTGGACGACAACCACCTTCACAATTATTTGCTTTCATATCGATTACACGCTCCATTCGATATAAGTACGTTTCCTCGATACTAACCGTATCGATACTAAAAATACTCGGTATCGAATCGGAAGTATCGATTATTTACTTGTATTTACTTGGATCAGTTTATCCCTAGTGTGACTCACAGCTATGGATTCATCGATTATAATCAAGCTTTTTCTGGTAAATCGAGATAAAAAATAAGCCGACTCATACGGAGCATTTTTTCCAAAGATAGTGAACCCCTTAATATTCTGATGTCCAGATGCAGAGTGGATCAGAAATCATAATACAACCGACAATGGGGTGATTCTGATTATACGTGAAAAAAATTTTAAAAAAAGTTTAAACATAAAATTGTTTCGTCCGTGGCTTCGTTTTCAAGAAAATCGAATTGAGCGATGATTGATCACATAATATACACGATAGCCAAATAATACTGAACTGTGCGCGCGTTATTTTTCAGATTGACAACGAACCCATGGTAGGAAAACCGTCCACGATCACCCTCAGTTTCAAGAATCCGTTGAGGAGGATTCTGACAGAGTGTAAATTCAATTACGCCGGGCCGGGGCTCTCGAAGAACAAAACATTGATGTTCAGGGACGTCGGGCCGGAAGAGGACGTCTACGTGGAGCATCAACTGGTCCCGCAGAAGTCTGGACCACAAAAGATCATCGCCACCTTCACGTCGAAACAGTTGTTGGACATTACAGGATCGGCCGCCATTGACGTTCTCGACGAAGACGAGTGAAATTCTTCAGTTTGCGTTTTATTTCTCATTTAATAGAGGAAAGGTAACATAAACGGACCGTTTATTTTGAAAGTGGTGTACGTCCATTTTTCTTTGCTTGGAGATATTGAAGTGTTTGCGGTTTTCAATTGATTGAAAAATCCTGATAAGGTCTAAGTATTAGCGAGTTTGTCCACGTCTCTATATGTGTAAGTAGATGTAAATTCATTGTACAAATACCTTTTTTGAGAATTAACTAAACCAATATCATTTTGCAGGATTACGCATGGACTTACTCACTTACACCATTTTCAAAATTACTGAATTGTACAATTCATTGAATTTTAGTTACGAAAAATGTATGTTTTATGCTTTAATCCACTTTTGTTTATACATTAGATCAAGAAAAACAAAATACTGTTGTTTCAATTCAATATTTATTTATTTACTGTTACAGTATGCAAGATTAATATTAAGTACATTCTATTTTTCATTTCGGATCGTTATATCGAAGTGTTTTGAAATGCTCATGATACACGGGAGGTGTATGCGAGGCAATAACTGCATCGTATCCTTATATGTATTTTAAATAAAAATATAGGGACAGCAAAAATTTTAATTATTTAAAACAAATGAATATTCTAAGATTTAAATTATAAATTGTTTATAAATAAAAAGTTTACATTAAAGTATTGGAGATTTACTCATTTATGTCACGCAATCTGATGGTGAAAAAAAGCAGTCGAATTGGGTCAACTATCCCATGTAACATACGGAGTCAGTACTGTTTTTGGTCATTCGAAGTAGAATTCTTTGTTTTAACACGCTAGATACGCTAAATATTTAATAAAAAAAAAAGTGGAAGATACACCGGGTATTCGGTTTCCACCAAACGAAACCAAAAGCAAGATGTAGGTACTTTGGCGGTTTTTTGGGGCATTTAAAAATTAATATACATATATACATATGTATACATGTAATAGGATTCAAAGAATTTTTTATTGAATTTTTTTAACTATTAAGAGACATATATTTTTTTGTAGTTACGAAGTTTTTAATATAAATTTCTTGTATTCAGTAGATTTATTAAATTCTAGCCCAGAATTTAAATTTCTTGTATTCAATTCATATTGACAATATAAATTTCTTTTATTAATACAGGTACGGTTTTTTGGCGCATTTAAAAATTAATATACATATATATGTATACATGTAATACAAATGTATAGTATTCCATAGACACACATACGCACCCACGAATACCGACGAACTGGTGGTCAAGACTGGTCGTTTAAAAATGTGGAAGAAAATATTCAAAGTTGGAAAAAATGTATCATCTTATATGCATTTGCCTATGTCTACTTTTTGTATTTCAAAAATGACAATTATGTTTTTAGTTTATTTCTCCACGTGAATCGCCTCTTTTTAAAGTAGTGCCACGAACCATGCCTCACTATTTGCCCACATAACCATTTACGTGCAGATTGGCAGCAGATCCTGCAACGCAACCCAAGCTAGGCAACTCAACGTAGGTCAATTTATAACCTAGGCTATGTTGCAGGATATGTCGCCAATCTGCGCATAGATTGTTTCTAGCTGATCCTGTATTAAATCTGTAGCCATTCTGGTTAGAAAGCATTATAACAGGCATAGGGCAAAAGCTGGCTGTGCAAGTTTAGCTGACTGGGTATCTTTCACGGAAAATTTTGAAATACCTAAAAATTGTATTTTCATTTTCGAATATTCTGTATACAGGTAAAGTGATTAGTTTGTAGAATGAAAAGTGATTCGTGCCTTTGTTATTTCGTGTATGTAAAAGTAATGTTCCTTGCATTTACTGTGCTAGCTTACCTTTTCTCTGTATATCTTCTAATTTTCATTTAAATCGAACTTACACTATCCTTCTGTACTGATGGACGCTTCGAACTTGAAAACGCTGATGATGGATCGTCTTTTCGTTCGATGGGATAACTTTATGAATATTCTTTATAATCCGTGCCAATCCAATATTCATACATATAAGAACTTACGTTCCCGGTTATTTCTAGACCGTGCTGATCACTTCCGTTGCATAAGCTCGTTCCTGAGAAATGACCACATACTTTGTCTATAAACGTTCAACACTTATAGCCGTAATATATTCAAGCAGTGTACCATTAAGTAAGATGCATACGGTGTATCTGACAGCGTCCAGACATGAAATATTTAGCGCCTATACTGTATCATATTACGTGTATGCAAAGGTAATGACGGATTCTCAATCGATAATATGTACATAGTACATAGTCATCTGTAGAGGACGGGAATATATTAGGCTCCAGATGGGTCGCTTATTTTGTCTAGTATGTATTATGTATGCAGTGGTAGGAATCATCAGGCAAGCGTTAGAGTAGTGAATATTTTTGTTTGTGCGAAAACAAAATTATGAGACCGCCAGGACACCAACGGAGGTCAAAAAAGTGGGATTCCCGTGCTCTATTGCCGTTCCGCCAACCGTGCTGTTGAGAAATAGTAGCGCTCACTGATACTCAACGGCCAGACAGATTTTTCCAACATTCAACCCACTTTTCTCAAAAATGAATGGCCATATGAGGCTAATGTTCTAGCAATGCTTTCCATACATGTGTACCTACAACCCTGCACAAGCACATTGAAATCGGAGGGGCACAGGTCTGAGCCTCCCCTTGTTAGCATGGGGGGGGGGGGGCTCTGAACTCATTGCCATTTTACTCCCCTACAGCCCCAACCATGGCAATATAATTAGAGTCCACTGTACAGTGTATGTAATTATAAGCATACGAAACAATACGTTTATTCGACATAAGAAATTAAGGTACAAATCTAGTAATATAACAAAACATTTACAAATACGAACGAAAACAAAAAAAAAAGCATGAATGAATAAAAACACGCAAAAACGGCACAAATCATTTAACAATATCACAAGTAATCGTAAATTGTAAACACCAAAACACAATAGAGCATAAAATACCATAAACAAGTGGCAACACGTTCTGTCTAGAAACCACTGAACATCGTTCCTCCATTTTCATATTTTCCACTTTCGAAACTTCCATATGAATTCTTGAACACGTACTTTTCGAGACTCTCTTAACACAACATACCCTCTCCACCTTTCCATCCTCCATTTTCTGAACCAAACATTCCATTAACGATTTCACGTCTTTCAAGACAACACTGTTTGAAGATTTTTTACGAATTTCTAAATCAATTTTCTTAAACGTGTGTCCTCCTTCCTGCCGAATACTTGCAACTGGCGTCGTATCAGATTTCGAAACTTCATATTCAGAATCTTCACTCGACGACGCGAGTTCCGGTCGTGGCAAGATCTCGACAATGTTGCCTTCGCAAGAAAGATCACTGTCTGTTATGCTAACATCAACACTTTTCAACAGACTTTCCAACAGCTCCTTACATACTCCTGGTTTTTTATTTTTTGCCTTTTGCAATTTTCTTCTACTTTCTTGTCTCTTTAATTTACTCTTTAGATGTCGTTTGTAGATGTCGATTGCCTTGTACACGTTTCTCGCTCGAATCGCAGCAATCTGGAGAGCCGCCATTGTTTCACTAGAAATAACTTTCGTGGGAAATTTAGTTCCACCCGCGTCCACCGTTTCGTTAGAATCAGAACTTTTGTTTAATTTAGATGGCTTCAACGAGCTGGATGACATCGATGCATCCGATTCGGCGAAATTTAATTCATACTCACCGCCATTTTGTTCACCGTTTCCCGAAATCTCATCAGAGGACTCCTGCATCTGTTTCAACAGTTGTCCGAAAGTGTGATGTTTATTTTGTGCCGAATTTTCTTCGTACTGATGCAGTATTTTCTGAGGACACGTTCCATTGCGTGTTTCCACAGAATTGATAGAAAGGTCGGGAAAATTTGTCAATTGTATATTTAAATTGAGTAGGTCTGTAGCTACTGATTTCGAAACATAGGAAGCCTGTGCAGTCTCTGTACCATTATCTCTCATTAACAACGAGTCTGTCATCAATGAAGCACTGTTACATGTCAATTTTCGAATTTCTTTCATTATCTGTTCGCAGTATTGACTAGCAGCGTGTTCAACCGAAACCATATCCGTCTGCGTCTTCGTCGCTTGTTGCTGTACAGCAGACGAAGTGTCATCCTCGAAAATGCTCTGCAAGCCTTTATTTTGTTTTCTCTGAAAATCAGTCTGCATAGACGCATCGTTGCTATTTTTCTCTGTACACGTTCCAATATTCTTCACTTCCGATAGAGGTGACTTTAGACCCATTTTACAAGTTTCACTCGACTTTCTTAGAGTGTCTGTTAAATCAACAGAGACCTCTTCACGACGTTCAATGACATTATTCAACGTATTTCCCGGACTAGAAAAATTCTGCAACAAAATTTCTGAATGTTTTCTATTATGGGCACTGGACATCACTACATCTGCTAAGCTGACAGACTTTTTCTTCAAGGTACTGCGAAACTTCCGCCTATTTTTAATAGACTGCTCAGCCATATTCACCAAATGAGCGTCCACTCCTTGATCGTAAAGGAATTCCTTCAGCATGGTCAACAACGTTGTATGTGAACTCACTGTCGATCTTTCCTCTTTAACGGACGATGAACTTTTGCGTCTTCCTTTTCTAGAAATCGCCGAGTCTTGAGACTTCTTTTCGACGAAATCAGCGGAACACTCTTCGGAGTTATTACTTTTCCTGAATTCGTGATTTATCGGTTCTTGATTAGGAGTACTTAACGACAAAACGGAGCTCATGGATGTCTGACAGCACTTCGAAGATTCGATCTTCGTTACACAAACGGAACTCGAGTCGACATCTGCCATGACATTCGTTACAGAAATCAAATTGGAATCATCCTTTGGCCGATCATTTTCGAAGTTGGAGACTAATCTTGAATTCACAATAACGTCGTCTGCATCAGTGACAGAAGATGACGGAAAATCTGTTGAAAGAATCGTAGGTGTTAGAGTATACTGTGTAATTTTTTCTGTTAATGGCGGATTTTCGTGAAGCATTTCAGGAAATTTAGGTCGATCTTTAATTGTTTGACTCGTGCCAACGTCTTTTGTAGGCT